GTGGGGGAAAAGAGGGTGTGTTTGCGGGTCCTTCCTTTTTTTTTGGGGGGGGGGGGGGTGTGCATAGTTTACAAGATGGAAATAAATAACAAAAGCTGCTTAACCAACTGTCTGTCCTGTCCTCTCATAAGAACTGGAAACTCTTGAGAGGCAGGCTTTGATGAAAAAAAGTTATTCCCTGTGGCACAACTGTGATTTCTAATTTATTCTTTGCTTTTAAATCTTCCTTTATCTATAAATAACCTCTACTGCCATCAAAAACCCAATATATGCATTTTGGCATATACTTACGCTGGTATATGTTACTGTTCCTTTATTTGACCACATGTATTATTTAATAAATGGGCTAGGAAAATAATTCTTCGGCACCTATTTTCCTTCTCTTTTCCCTGGATAATTCAGTGTATCCCATTTAAACAAAACCTATAAATAAACATCTTCTGCAGTAGTCACGGGTGTTTTCTACTCAGTATTGCTGAAAAGCCTTTCGTCTGTCCATATGACAAATCCTGTTGAACTGCTTCTTTCTATCGCTATTTTGAAAGGTGCAAAATGCCTATCTGAACCTACAAATCTTCACTGAAAAGAGCCGATTGTTAAACAGGATCTATGTCCTCAGAAATCTGTTTCTGCATATGGGTGATATTAGAGCTAGATTTTTTAATCCCTAAGTTAAACTCTGTGCAAATTCAAACTTTAAAAATCTGGCTACAGGTCTGTAACCCAGATCTCCAAACTTAATGACAAAATACAAAGTTACTTGATTTTTGAAATCCAAAACTCACCCCAAATTATCAAGTGCTACTAATAATTTATGTAGCAAGGATGTATTTGCGTTTTCCCAGAATTATGACAGACTATAGTATGCAAATTGTTTGTTATGTCTGAATTCTGTGATACATTTCTTACATGTAAGAAATATATTCCCTCGTCAGAGTGCTGTTGGTTACTGCTAACGTGTAAAGCATACATTTTTGTAGCATGTAGTTAAGTTAGTAACTATGAAAGTCCTCAATGTTTTCTATCCATAAATTCTTCCAGCCTTAAGGTCTATAAAGTGGATTACTAAAAGGTATCCCTGTATAAAATAACAAGAAATTAATGTAAGGCAATATCAATGAGACCATCAGAAACCTGGAACAGCTTGAATTCATCAACTTCTTTGTATTGCTCACTTCAATGTTCTGTTGTTCGCTTAATAATTGCAAGAAAACCTGCATCCTGATTAGAAGATCCCATTTTTAATTTCTTTTGGCTTTTCCAATGACATCTAGATATTGCCTAGAGCCAGACAAAAATAATCTGGAACAATATGAACAACTACACTAAATTAAATTGCTAAATTTCTGTTCAGTTAACATTAGATAGGTATTTTGTTTAGATTATATATGACATGGCAATGCTCATTCGCCACTGCCTAAAAAAGTCGTGTGACTTTCAGTTTATTCTGTAGCTAGTGTTACCATAAATCAGTGCGTGTATTTACACAGAGTCATAGGGTTATCTTAAAGAATCACATGAGTTGATCTGAATCTGTTATTTGTCTACTGTAAAATAACCAAAATTACAGTCTCCTTCTGCACTCATTGTAGGTAATAGGCCACGTGGTCTGTCAGATTTTCACTATCTATTCTCTCCCAGCACTTCTGGGCAGCTCATCACAGGCTGGGAAGTTCTCATCAGTCACAGGAAGAAAAGTGCTGCAGCTAGATGGTTAATCAGGTTCAAAAACTTACAAAGTATTTATTGTACAAGCAGGCTTCAAAATCAGTGCGTATACACGGTGCTGGCGCTGGGTTCTGTTTTGCCATCGTGGTTCCACAAGCAGCGCTTTGCAGTGCTCACACATAGTTTAAATCTTCACTTAATGCATTTATATTGCCTCAGAACTGATGACGGAATAGGCTCACAATCCAGAGTGCCTGTGGATAGCTCGGACACTGCAGCGTTTTGACATGCACTGTTTATTATTCAGCTACTCAGGCAATGTCATGAAAAATCATAATAAAACTAGGAAGACACATCACATTTGACCTTTGCTGAATAATTTA